GCTGGGGTTTCTAATCTTTCTGTCTGTCTGTATTTTCCCCATCACCTGTTGCTATCGGCATGTTCATCGTGCTTACAGTAAAGAAAGTCATCTAGAAGTTATTCATCTGACATGTTGCAGGTGATTCATCCTCTGTGACATGTCAATACATTCTGGGGGGCACCTGTAAGTCACTGCTTTTGTTCTTACTGTGATAGTCAAGTAATTTGTCATGCTGTTGTGGGATGCTCTTTTCCAGATGAATAAGCCCCACCCAGCTCTAAGCTGCTTTGTGAGCCTTTCGTTAAGAGGAAAATACCAATAAATTAAGGGGAATCTTCCAAATAATACATTATTTAAACCAAATGTAGACTTTACTCAATTTAGATTTTATTCTCTTTATTAATGTCTAGTTTCTACCTCTTGCAAAAAAAGATGTTGGTTGGCAATCGTCAGACATCATCCACCGTTTTCTTTCCTCTCCTTTGCCTGCAGGGACCTGAAATTGGATAATCTGCTTTTAGATGCTGAAGGATTTGTGAAGATTGCAGATTTTGGATTGTGTAAGGAAGGTGAGTGACTTTGGTGAAGCCAAAATTGAACCATCAGAACCAGTTTAGGATCTGGGCTTTAGTAAAGTGTTCACAAATACAGGTACTGAGATGGTTGTGTGTAACTTGTATTCATCCCCATCTTAAAAATAAAACAAAATCCACCAAAAAAACCCCCCAACAAACCGAACAACAAAAAAACCTCACCTGTCTGACTATGATGAACTTGGAAAGAGTACTTTGTCCTTTACTCTTCAGGAAACTTATGAAGGAGTTTACAAGGTGCTTGTTTGCTCAAAGGAGACAGAATATAGGATACTACAAAATACGTACTTGAGTAAATGAGCAATGGTTTCCATGGTTTTGCTGTTTATTTAAGTATTGTCTGTATATTTCTTATATGGACTTTTCAGAGGCCTCAGGTTTCATACTTCCTTATTGGCATTGACAAGCATTGATGAAAGCCCTTGCCCAGTTAACATTATTAGATTATAAAGTGATAATCTATGGCTTTCAGAAGGTGAGACTGCATGTGATCCATTTAGTAATATGTGCTGGATTTTACAGAAGTGTTCTTTTCCTACAGGAATAGGTTTTGGAGACCGCACAAACACCTTCTGTGGCACTCCTGAATTTCTGGCTCCAGAAGTCCTGACGGACATATCATACACTCGGGCAGTAGACTGGTGGGGATTGGGTGTACTCATTTATGAGATGCTTGTTGGTGAGGTAAGACCACCTTTCTCTAAGAGGATTTCACTAAGCAGTCTTGGGGAGACTAGTACCTGACCACCGGAGATAAAATTTTGCTGAATGTAGCCAACTATTTATTAGTACTTAAATTACATTTTTTCTCATTCATAGTGCTTGCCAAACACTAATTAATCCATACAACTCCCTGCTATTCTCATCCCTCTTTAATAGTGAGGAATGGGTGCTATGTGGATTAAATAATAAAATGTCACAATTGCAGTCACCATTCCCTGGAGATGATGAGGAAGAAGTCTTTGACAGTATTGTCAACGATGAAGTCCGGTATCCACGATTCCTTTCATCTGAGGCACTTTCTATAATCCGTAAGGTAATGGGCTTGATGGGTCTCTGGGAGCCTGAGGAATTTGCATTTACTGTGTAAGTGGATCCAGAGGGACTCTATTAGGACGAGATAGCATTTGTTTGTGTAATCTGGAGCTGCCTACACAGACTAAGGAAACATTTAAAATTTACACGTATTTTTCCTTTCCTTCTCTTTACATAAATGCTATTCTGTCTAAGGATGACTAAGCAGGCTTCTTACTGAGGTCTGTTGCTGCGAAGTCTGAAATGGAGAAATGTTGATTAAAGGGCAGGAATGTCAGAGTCATTCAGTGGAGATGGCTTGATTCAGTTTTTGAATGTGACCCAGTAGTCACAGGTGCACAATTAAGATGAGATGCTTCATGCGCTTTATAGCGGGTATCTTATTGATGTTGGCAAGTTGTTTACAAGGAACTAGGTCTGAGCTATTACTAGCAGATTATGACCTTGCTGCAAAGTGAGAATGAGAAGATACTGAGGGGTCAGTCCATCTCCTTCCTTTTGTTTTTCCTTCTGGAACATTACTTATGTGCATCCTTGTTCCAGTTGTTTACTTTTGAACTGGTATTTCCTGCAGCTTCTTCGGAAATGTCCAGAGCGTAGACTGGGAGCAGGGGAAAAAGATGCAGAAGAGATTAAAATCCAGGCCTTTTTTAAGGTAGGAACTCACGTTATCCCTCCCCTTCATCTCTTGTGTTTGAGCTGAGAGTGGTTTGCTTTCTGTTGGTATTGTGGCATATTTCCATTAGTTGTCAGTGAAATCTTAGTGGTAGCTTCTGTTGCACCTCATTGCTGTATTCAGGAATATGTGTTTCAATTCATGTTTGAAATTACATCCCCCAAGTGTGTTTTCTGGGATCTGTAGGCTTCCAGAGCCACTTTGTTATTTCCAATTGTGATGCTGCTATGTACAAATATACTTACCTTTTGAGCCATCAACAAACACCCCTTTTAAATCAAACTGCAGCAGTCAAAGGTGCTGTCTAGTGATGACAGTGATTGCCAGTCAGTCTATTTGACAGCACTTGCATTTGCAGGATATACATGAATCCTAAGAGAAATTGAGGCTAAAGACACATTTGCTTTGGGTCAAGGGTACACGTCTGTTCCAGGCAAAGGAGTTACCTTTCCTCCTTGTCATTACCCATCTGCCAGAAGTTACTAGCCTTTTAGCCCCTGGCTGGCTTTGCACTGGAGTGAGAAAAGAACTTGGATGTCAGCAGAAATCGCTGGGAAGTCCACAGATCCACCTGGCCACAGCTGCACTTCAGTTTTGTCCCTCCTAAATATAGTTTGAGCTGTAGCTTTGTTTCTTGGTGTTCTGAAGAACAGCCTTAGACTGTATGGAATCTCTGTACTACCTGGCCTACACCAACTATGCTGTTTGTTTTGGGCCTTTTTTCAATTCTCTCTCTCTCTTTTTCTCTCTCTTTTTTAAATTAGTAGCAGTAAGACATGTTGCAAATGATCTGGAAGGGGCAATCCTTCCTCTTACTTTCACATTTCATAAATAATGTTAATGTCAATCTGGCCTGTTCACTTCCTTCTCTTACAGGAAATTGACTGGGATGCCTTGTTTGCCAGGACTCTGAAGCCCCCTTTTGTGCCCACTTTAAGAGATCCGACCGACATTAGCAACTTTGATGAAGAGTTTACATCACAAAAGCCAATCCTTACTCCTCCAGAGGAGGTTGCTCTCCTAACCCGTAAGCAGCAGACTGTCTTCAAGGACTTTGACTTTGTCTCCAGACACCTTTTAGATGTTTGATTCTTGTGCTATAAGAAACAGGAACAGATTGTTACCACCTTGAGAGAGTGTAGAGAGGACTTGGCATGAGCAATGGAAAAGTCAACAGAATTCGTAGAACTGGTAGTGCTGGTGACCCCAGGACGAGAGTGCCCTGCAAGCTGAGTTAATCTACTGTGTTTTTTCAGCCTCATTTGGTGGATGGATACTGGATGTCAATTATCTTTAAAGAGTAATTAATGTTTGACTGGATGCATCTTCTGCTGCCATTGAATATAGATGGAAATTTGGAATTTAAGCTGGACTTAATTTAACTAAATCAAGTATCTCTGCAACCCAGGTTTCTCTTTGCAAAAAGCCTAAGTAAGTGGCATGGCTTTTTAAAGTTGCATAGTAGCAGGGGGGAATGGCTGATTCTCACCTATTTTCTAGAAAAGATATGCAGCATTCCCTCTTCGTAATAATTTTATGCCCATTCCCATCATAACTCTGTGTATGCCAGAGAAGGAATGGATTTTAACACAAACAAGACAATGATGTTTGGGTTTGATAATAATCCAAGTGATCTATCTTAAGGAAAAGGAGTCTCTTTCTACTTCTTTGAGGATGCTAAATCTTAGCTAGTTTTTAATGATACAAAAAAGCTACAGCTTTGCACATGCTATTATTATTTTTTTTTTAAATAAAGATAGCTTTCCTTATAATGAAATCTCAGCTTTTCATCTCCTTTGTGTTAGCTGAATGTTTCAGATCAGGGCTAACCATATTCTGCTCAACAGGCAGGATTTTATTTTTCTCTGTAAATGTCACTAGTAATATTTTCTTTCTTCCTTCCTTCCTTCCCACTGAAGTTGTCTGTGTACATGTTGCATGGTGTCATCAGCTGTCACATACAAATGATTGCAGTCAAGTTGCCTCTCCACAGATTTTATCAATGTGTGTATCCTGTATCTTTTTTGGGATAGCTAAATCACGACAGTGTTAATATCGGAAAATCAGTAAGTTAAAGGTGATTTCATCTGCCTGGTAACATATCTTGTAATAATACATGATAAGATACATTTTCTTCTCTTAAATTTGTAATGTTAGCTTGTTGGGCAAAAAAAGGAAGGGTGTCTAGAAATGAAGCATCACACTGACGACAAATACGGATGCACAGCTATTAGTCTTTCAGTTTGTCTTCAACAGAGGTAGACATTAGTTGAACTAACGCAATTGTGCTATATCTGGAGATAAGGTTCGGGTGCAGCTAGTGAGTCGTCATTATTAAATCAAGGCTGGTCTAAGTGCTTCAGAATTCAGAGAGGTAAGAGCGTATGTTTGTGCAAAACAGAAATAATTCACACTGAACCTAGATTTTCCTATTTTCAGAGCCAAGTATACCTGCTTCTGAAAATTTCTGTGTACAAATATCCTTTCAACCCCCTGCTCTGCCTTACAGCATAATGGCCCATTTAAAGCAGGATACACATTTTCCTCACCCTTGTTTGAATAGTAATGGTTGGCTTGCTGTTGGCCCCTACAGCGTGTTTTGTGAGTTTTCTTAAGGTTGAACCCTCTGTAAAGTGGTAAGTAGCACAGTGGATTGTTAGCACAGGTGAAACCTAGAACTTGGGTTCAAGGAAGGAGGCATTAAGAACCAAAAAAGGCATATTTAATCTTTTAATTTATAGTTTATAGTAAAGTAAAAAGACTGTAAATTACCATCCTGGTGCATTTAAAAGAGAATTACCAAACAGAGCAAAACTGTGTGTTTTGAGCTGTAGTACCTGCTGACAAACTTTTATCTGACTGATACCTGAAGAACCAGAAATTGCTATGTGGCAGATAAGCCATACTTTAGCAGGCACCACACCGACACAAATAAACTGCGGAATCCTTTCTGGATAGTATACCATTGTTATGAAAACAGTTCTTAGCGTTCTGATATCCCTCTGATTGATAGGAGTTTCTACCCTGAACAAACCAGACTGGATGCAGATTACAAACTCTGGAGTTGGTCACAAAAGGGATCCTTCCGCTGTTTTAAAACTACTTTTGGACTATCATGCTGTATTAGTGACTACACTATCCTTTCATGAGTGCTCATCAGCTTTAAACCCTGAGTGTATCCTACCAGCTTGCCAGATGTGCTCTTGAGCTGGTGTTAATTCCTGAGCCAAGGCAATTAAGACACAAAATAATTTTAACTAAGGCTTTGTTGTGGTGCTGTTTGTTTTTTTTTAAACAGAAAAGGGTCAGGACTAAAATTCACACCACAGCCTTTTCTGTTTTTAAAGCAAAAATTGGTCATCCCAAACTTCCTTTTAGTTCCCCATGGAAATTTGAAGTATGACCTTTTATTACAATGGAAAATAAGTAAGCTTGCTGCTATCCTAGAAAGCTATCGGCACCCCTCATCTCAATGAAACAAACAGGACGTGGAATCTTTCCTCTTGCATTGAAACTTTGTATTCTTTTATTAAAATTTTACTAGTATGTTGAGGTAGTAGTATTACCAACAGTGTTACTTGAGCTAGGCACGAAGTACCCACCTCTGCTACTGGTTCTCTCCCCACAAGCTACGGGAAAGGCCTGAGCATGAAGTTATCTGCAGAAGTAATTCCATAGGCAAGTATTACTTTTCTGTCCAAAGAAAAGTGGATGGTATCATTCTTTGCTGACTTCATTCAAAATAGTCTATGAATTGTTGACAGCACCATCAACTTAAAGAAAAAACTGTTAGGAAGCTCGTCAGGGCATCACAAAGTACAGGCTAATTATCTCATAAGCTGAATTTGGTGCCTTACTGCTGTTTCTCATGCACATTAACACTATTAAGCCTCAAATCTTTGTGAAAAGCATAAAGTTTAGGCATGTGGTCAAAATGAAATTTGCTTTTGACTGTCCAAATATTTACTCAAATATTTCTATTACGTGCCCAACACTATTGACAAAAGGCACTGCGGTTCTCACAGTGAGAACTATGTTGAAGAAAGGCCACAGGAATTATATTGATTCTGGCTGGTTTTGTCTGTAATAGCTGCTGTTCCCTAGCAGCAAAAGGAGAGGGAAACTTTGGGGAAGAGAAGTGAACATGGATGTTCACGCTACTCTTGCATCTCTTCTGGAGAGATGTGGATGTAGTTAGCAAAAGGAAGTAAATTTAGAGAGAAACCTTTGCTCAGTCCAGAAGTTAGCCCTGCTGGCCTTCCCAGAACCAGTGTCTCCCCTTTAACAGTGTTACTCGTACATAAAAAGTAACCCTGACTATCCTTGAAATGTAATTTGCAGGATGAACAGGCTGTGGAACAGGTTGCATAGCTGATGATGTACTAAAGTTCCGTGCAAGGAAACAGCAGCATTTGCGTTAGCAAAGCTTTACCCGGCAACCTGCAGATGTGTTGGCACTCTACCAGGTAGGTACTACTGTGACTAGACAGGCTCATTGTTCCTGTGAAAATAGATGTTCTCCCATGCAGTGAGGTGGCATGAACAGAAGAATCTCCAGAGATTGAGGATTACCCCTTGGTCAAAGGGATTCTCCAACTCAGAGTGTTGCAGGTAGGAGATGCGATGATGTGACATGAATTCCCAGGTGGTGGTGTTGCATGAGATCAGATAGAGGTGCGAAATAAGCAGCAGCAGGACAACAATGGTGAATATGACTATCAGGAGGAAGGACATAAGGAGGAGAATGTTGTGCTGCAGCCAGTCCCAGGACTGTTCAAAGTAGAGGCCTGACCTTTCAATTCAAAGAGAAATAAATTCATGGTTAAAGATGTAGAACTAGTTACATAAGCCAAGCAAACTTGATGGCACATTTAAGTTTGATTCGTAACTAGTGAGCTTCTGATAATCATTTACTACAGAGAGTTAATATACCATAAACTCTCTTAAGAGACTGCACCAGTAGTGACTTAGATTCTAAGAAGTTTAAAAGATGCTGGTTCCCCTGACAATTGAGAGAGACAATCATCTTCAGTTAACTCCTCTCCTGAACAGGCATACAGCTGAAACCCCGCTGGAGTTTCCAGTACTTGGATTTGTAAACAAAGACCGTATTACAGTCACTGAAGCAAAATTAGTTAGCTTTTGTACTGTTGTTAATTCTGTTAATTTAAGCTTAAAACAAAGATGAACAATGAAACCCAAATTATCAGATTCTGCTCAACTATTGATCAGCCTCGTTGTTCCTCAGCAGATTAGGGGGCTCAGAAGAGCTGATCTCCGGGATGCAAAAGAGGGTGAAGATACAAAGCCAATCCAGTCACTGCTATAAACCCTTCAGTGGGGCTCTAGAGGCACCAAGACTTTTAGCAATCTCAGAGGTCAAAGTGCTGACTCCAGGCCTTACCAAGCAACATGACCTCCCCACAGCAGAACTACAAGCTGCACGCTCAAGTAGACTATGAAGAGGGGGTGATTCTTCTCTCCTACACAGTTCTCAATCCAGGGACAGTGATGGTCGTAACGCCGTACACAGTGTTGGCACAGCTGGCAGTGCTTGGCTCGCATCGGTTGCTGCAAAACAAAACCAACCAAACACACACTGGCAATAGTCCACTAGTTCAACTCCCCGTTTGGCAGAAGACAGCATCATGCTATATCGTCTTCCTCCACAGCAGTACTGTCCCAAAAGCACTCCATTTTGAGATAACAGCACAACTTTGTTTTTTCGTTCCTAAGACAACTAACGGGGATCGTGATTCCCCTGGTACAGACCCAAATGAGTGAGATTCAAATTAAATGACTCTCCCACACTACTTCTGTCTATACATTTTCTTTATTATCTACCTATTTATAGGAAGTCCAGTGTGCAAAGGAGGGAGATAGAGCCAGCCTTTTCTGTTCAGGAAAGCATGAGCAGAGTGTGGAGGCGAAAAACTAGGACCACAGCTATTGAAGAACGTGTGCAGGGATGGGATGTCTTTATGGGACAGCACAGAGGAGGGAAGCGTCTCTACTTCTGTGTGAATACAAGACACTTGCACAGGAAAGCAGCTCGAGTACCAGGAATAGAGAAGATGAAAGATCTGGCTGAGGAAAGTAGTATGAGTGCCTCCTAGGATTTGTTCCCTGAAGCATGTATGTGTTTTGCCAGCTTTTCCTCTTGCAATAAGCTGGCTTCTCCTGGTAGATATTCTTCAGGAATTTATGGAAGTTGGGATAATGCTTGATTTTATTAAACTGATAAGGATTGCTCTGAAAATGGGCGCTTCTAGGCTTTAGGCAAGCTGTTTTAAGAGCTAATTTAATTGCTCTAATTTTTCCTTCATACTATCTTTTACAACTCAGGCTAATGTTTTGTTGTTTTTAGGCCTCCAAACAAGCTCACAGCTACCAGCGGTTCTTATAGGTCATGCTCAGCTGCTCTTCTGAGCATGATATCCTCTATCAAGATATCTTCAAAGTAACCTTTTTGACAATACTGTAAGGTCTGACTGACGTGGCAGTAAGAATGTAAATACAATTTTCCCATGGCAAAAGAAAATCCTTGGTCCTATGAGACAGCAGGGACTTGTTTCAGCCTTGGAAAAGTAGCATACATGCCAATGTCCATCACCACTACACCTTTAACTACACAATTTGTTTGGATCACTTTTCAATTCAAGACTGTATCTGAATTCAATTTGCTAGTTGTATTTACTTTTTCTGTGAGTTTTTCAGCAGGAGAGTGACCTTATGACAGAATTAATCAGATCTGCCATGCCTCCAAACCACTGAGCAGTGAGCAGCAATGATAGAGCAGGAAAACACCGGCAACAGCAGCTGAACAAAGATGTTGCCAAAAAATGTAAGCTTGCAAATCACTCATCCCACCCTCTTCTAGCGTGTTATGAATGACTACCTTCACCATGCAGTAACCACAACGCCGCATCTTAATATTACTTGGAACTTGGGGTATCACCATGCTTTGTTCTTCACTCTTGCCTGCCTACAAAAGAAAGAGAAAGGGAGTGACTAAGGACGTTTTGTGTGCTGCTGTCTGAAGCACAGCAGCTATTATCGCACTTGGCATGACTGAGCTGTCTGGATCCTTTTACTTAACAGCTACACAGTGCTGGCTATCTCTGTCATTAGGAAAGTTAAAATAATTCCTTAGAATTCCTACAGAAGCTGCTATATAAATACTGTGGCATGAAATTCTACTGCAGACAGTTAAGGTACATCGAGAGAGAACAGGCTACTGTAACCATCAAAAGAACATTTGCACAGAAGCAGAAATAATTGTGGACAAGATACCACACTGATCCCAACGCTATGCTTTGGGACAAAAATAAACAAGGTTAGACTTCACTTCCAAAGACGATAACGATGTCTTTTCAGCATAAGCATTGCTACTTATTCATAACACAGCCAACATTTACATTAATGGTGGATGATTAAAATTGATAATGCTTTTGTTCTACACAATCTGTAAGGCAGTGAACCTGGAGTAGACTACTCCTCAGTTACTGAAACTTTGCATCTCCATTTACTTCACTGCAACTTGTTTGTGTACATGTCCTCTGAGAGAGCAACAAATCTATAAACAGTTCAATAAACAGAGCTGCAGAGAGCACTTTCTTTCAGTCTTGCCATTCAATTCGGGTTTTTTGCACTTGTACCACTTAGTGGTGGTTAGCGTAACATAAGTCATGTATACATTCCATAGGGTACTGCAGCCTCTGATGCAAGAGAGGACTTATGCTCAAATGGCACAGTGCGCTTACAACAGAAGCGTGGTGTAAAAGACACACACAAAGTCTGTGAACCCTGCTGCAGTTACAGACTATGAATTGGAGACTCTTGGGCCTGATCTCTAATGGTCTGTGTATGTTTCCTTTATGGCAAGTGCAACTGAAACTGTTTCAGATTGTTCTTATCTAGAAGAGTGGGAAAAAGAAAAAAAGCCTATAGATTTTATAGCCCCAGCACTTTCTTCCATTCATGAAGTGATATACCTTTGCTTCCTCTTCAGACTTAACAAAACCCGGATCCATGAGAGACACCTTAAAGTACAGCAGGACAGAGCACAAAACCAGTAAGACGAAGATCAGTGGCTGCAGCAGCTCTCCGCGCTCCTCTTGCTTTTGCAGATCTGAAAGGTACCCCAAAAAAAAGAGAGCAGTAGTTCCTTGCAAAGCATTTAGGATTTTTCTCTCTGGCCTTAACAAAGGGGTCCCGCACCTAGGAGAAGGGGGACGGGGAGAAATCAGGGGGCGAGAGGGCGTGGGGTGAGAAGGGGAGAAACAGGTAACGGAAGGGGCTCCCGAGCGCCCCACAGCCCCCCTCTCCCCCCAGGGCTCCCCCCGCGGGCCCAG